CAAGCAGCTATTAAGCCACGACTGTATTACTTATAGAAAGAAATTCACACGTCAAATAGATAGTAAATTTAACTTGTGTCTTCATAGCAATAGATGGTCCCAAGCAATTAACTAGTATCTTCTATGTGAAATGAAGATTTTGTTTTTATGGGCTACTGATAAGGTAAAGATTTTTTGTTTCCTATATTAGAAGGATCAATGCTGAAGAAGGGAACTGGAGCTGGTATTCAAGTGATGAGAGAGACAATGAAATGGTTGGTTTTTGAAGAATTTATGGCAGTTCTGGCACGGATAGCATGCCAAGTCCTGTAACACAGGAAGAGTGTTAGAATCATTGTGTCTAGACTCATCCTATCAAAGCCAATTAAACGTTTTTGTTGGTACACAGATCAGCTGTGCCTGTGACGGATTATTTATATCAATCAGATCCCATTAAACTAGTTTGTTACTCATGTTACTTTACGAGTCAGATATAACCAAATCATTTTTAATTAAATACTGCACGTTACGGATTTATTAAAATACATCAATAAAAAGAAAAAATCAATAACTTTTTAATCACAATCTTATATTTAATTGATTCTTTTTTATGTTTTCCATAAATTTTCAGCTGAAAAAAAAAACATAATTTATTCTTTTGTACATATTGATTCTTAAATAAAAACATGCAGCGATCTAAACAGAAAATTGAATCCAAAATTCTTTAAAAACCTTAATATTTGTTTTCATTTAAAAATCATAAAAATTCTTCATAAAAATTATATTAATGTATTTTTAAAAAAATAATCACATTCTAAAATTTTATTTAAAAATCCATACAAAGAGAAACATAAATCATATTTGCTTAACAACTAAAATTATATAGAAAATCAATTAAAAAATTAATTAGATGTTTTCATAAAAATAAGAAATCGAAGAAATTATCCTAAAATCTAAAAGCAAATATCGAAGTGACAAATTGAAAAAATCATATTTTTTTTATCACCGGACTATATGAAAAAAAAAATAACGATTATTTTTTTTCATAAATTTAGCACAAAATCTATTATAAAAAAAAATAAAAATAAATTGTTGAAAAAAAATCTAGGGATCAAAATGTAATATAAATAAAATTGGAGATGAAAATAAATCTTTTAGAAAAATAAAGAATCAAAATGTAACATTGAATAAAACTAGTATATAAATGCTTGAAAACAATTCAAAAATTACTAAAATATTGTGAAAATGAATAATGAACATAAGTCTAAATGAATAGCACATCCAATGTGAGTGAACAGTGATATAAATATTAATTTTTTCGAATTTTTTTAATGTTTTGTATAATGCAACCAAATCTAATTAACAATAATTCCTTAATTCCCGGAAAATGTGATTAGAACTACTTAATTAACCTCAAAACATGCATGGGGACAAGAGAAAATTGCAATGAATATTATCTTTAAGCTAAAGACAATTAATTCAGCTCCTCCCTCGTACAGAAAATGTTGGTATTTTCTACATGAAATTAGGAAAAAGCACCAAAAACATGTTTTTGAAGGACGGGAAAGGTATGCATTTACACCCTTGCGGCCATGGCGCATCTCGAAATATAGTCACTCATGCCCACCCTATCGACATTTTCCATAAACAGAAAGAAAGCTACGAATATAGAAGCTTGTTATTCTAATATTGTGGATGAGTAGCTAGCTAGGCTGGCTAGGCTATGCAAGGCTTAAGCTAGCTCGCAAGTAAGTAGCTTTGGAGGACCAAGTATATGTGATATGCCTTTTTTTCCTGGGTGTGTTATTAGTTTATAATTACTGTCTCAAATACTTAAGCTTTACTCGTGTTCATTTGTTCCTAGTTTTTTTCTTTTCTTTTTTTGTCCTAATTGTTTCTAGCTAGCTAGTTTTCTGATGGGCATATCTCCGTTTTTATATTATGCCGTAAAAATTAATGCTGCCTTACGTATCCCACCTTTAACAAGTCTGAAGTTCGATTTTTATTTAATTATTTATTTATTACATTACAGAAAGTTAAAGTTTTAATGTGATTGGACTTTACATTGTGTCACCTCCAAAAACTAGAAGATTTTGCTCTCTGTATGACCATGAATGTGTTGGAAAATGCGTATGTACATATAGATTACAATTGAAATTTTTATGATCAAGTGAGCAAATGACATACGAAATTTGAGGAAAAAGTACATATAGATTTAATATTGTCGTTGTCTATTAATATATACTATCATCTTTACTTTAACCTAACCTATAATGTGTGAAATTACAAACCGGTCCAATGCATGAAAGCACATGTAACTGGTGTTACAATAGATTAATACTAGCATGCATTTCGCGTTTTGGTGCAAGGTGAGTTATAGAGTTTTCTTATGTATTAAATCATATAAAGTAGAAAGTTCTAACAATCCATGTAATAATAATAATAATAAAATAATTTAAAACATATAGAAATGAAATGAATTATTTCAAAACTTTTAGATAAATATATTTTATATGAATAAAAAAATAAAAAATCTTATACATTTGGCCATTACTATAAAAATAAGAGGCTATTCTGGTTTTCTTTTGTAATTGTTATATAGCTATAATGATAAAAACAGAGATTGTTACTATTAAAAGAGAGAGAGAGAAACAATTCTATTTTCTAAATAAGTTGATATATTCTTTTACAATGAATTGGTTTATAATCTTAAACGATGAATCAAATATTTTCTCTAATTATAATACATTACTAATCAACTTTTTTTTAGAAGTAAAAATTAATAATACTAATTGTAAGAATTTGTTTACTTTAATATATATATATATAAAGATGCAGTTTTGATTTATTATTGTAGTAACAGTAAAACCACGTGCTGTTTTAATATGTTTATAATTAATTAAAGTTTTAGTTTGAGGAAGAGGCTGCCATAGAAGCAAAAACCATTGCTCAGCTTTCGACTAGGGTTCATGTCTGCCACATAAATCATTTTGTTTTGATCTAAAATTGTATCCTTTATCTCGATCTGTTATTTGATTGAAATAAGAGAAAAATATTTATTTTCACCTCTAGATACCTCATTTTAGGACAACAGGGAGTTCAACCTTTGAAGAGTATGTATATTTATATTTTTATGGGATGATCCTGTCCTGCCTTTGTTCTCCAGAGGAAGCCTGAATTTGAAACAACTTATTAGTCGAAATAAAAAGTATCTTAGCATTTATTACTCTAAATTAGACTGTGGAGCAGCTGGAAAAAGAGATGATGGCCCAAATTCCCAGGTTCAAAAGCTAGACCAGTGAACACAAGAAGCTACTTACATGTCTGATGTCACTAGTTGGGTTCGTTCAGGATCCGTTTGGAACAGGGTAATCAGTGGAAGCCTTATTATCTCACGAAGCCCAAAAGCCCAGCCCATTGTCTAGCAATCGTGAAAGTATATATATATATATCTTTATTTATTTATTTTATAAACAGCTTTGATTCATTAAGCAAAAACATCCGATACAAGGATTTTATCAACAGCTAGCGTTACCTTTGCATAAAAAATTACTTTAACTTAGATTAATGTTGCAAGTTCAGGTGGGTGATTGCTACAATGACTTCAACCTATTGCTTACTTCCTTCTTATGTTAGGAAAAAATTAAGTGAAGTAATTATGTTTATATAACACAGTTCAACAAAATAAATTGAAATAACAGAAATTATGATTATTTTGTATGACAATACAGGGTAAGTGTTTTTGCAAAATTGTTTTTCGATTGAAAATGCATTGATGCAATGCTTTTTTTATTGTTTTTGAAATCTTCACGACAAAACCATTAATAATAATAATAATAAATTAGCTATGATATTTTTATGATCCAAAGGAACTTTGAAAAACATTGGAAGCGCATTGCCAAATGGTGCCTTGAAGTCACGGAGATAAGTTCAGGCATCTTTGAAAAGTAAAAGAGAGCCATCGAGAAATAATTAAAAAAAAAAAAAATGGAAAAGAGGAAGTCACAACCTGGATATTCCATCCTATAATAGCACTAGAAAACAACTTCCATCAGCTGGCTGACAATAACATGATGAAAGATGACAAATAGTAGTTACAGCAACTTCAGTCTCTATTTCCTGCCTAACTCTTCATTTCCAGACGTCCCATAATCCAACTCATACAGATTTCTCAGTTTTCTTGAAACCTGTTTCATTCCTGCTCAATTTTTCTATTCTGTGGAGCTTTTTACTTGCATAGGTATGTTGTTCGTTCAATTTTTTTCGGTTTTAGCTATGTCACGGAGTGGGGTATCTGCACAGCCTGTTTTTCTTGCAGTTAAGTTGCTTGATTATCCTGTGATGTTGAATAGAAACAATTTTGTAATGGGCCATCAGGTTTGATGGTGTTTTTGTGACAGTCATGCATGATTTTGTGTTTTTAATAGTATTGGTTATGGTACTGTGTTGTAACAATTAGTGCTATATTTACAGTTTTTAGTTAATACCGCGTGTAAGGAATAATAGAATTGCTCTTGAGATGCTTTACTCAATCTTGCATATATGTATACACACACACACACACACACCCTCTGCTCTACACAGGTGAATTCTCTATTAGTATTATTGCGAGGCTAAACTCATTTACATGGTTAGAGAGTCCTTTGGGAAGTGCATAGAGATCAGTTAGTGAGGATATACCACATGAATTGAACAGTGAAAAGAAAGCAATGATTTTGACGACAACATTATAAAAGTGCAATGTTTTAGGACTAAACAGGTGAATTCTTCAGCCTAAATTGTCAAGAATTGATGCTCTCATTTAATTTAGGCTTTTCTTCTGACCAAAACATTGTTCTTAGATTGTTAATTACTAAACATAAAATCTTTGAGGCGCTAAATGAGAGCATCGCCTTTCATTGCAAATTTTGACAATGTAGACCAAAGTATTCCCTGGTCTTTTTATGATTTTTACTGGAGCTTGTGCTTCTAAAAGTACTGTAAAGCGAGATATTTGACTGCTATCCAGGTTTCCAGGTTAAATGGCAGACGAAATAGTTAATGTGAATGAGTACCAAGTATTGGCTAGGCAAGCTCTTCCAAAAATGTACTATGACTTCTATGCTGGAGGAGCAGAGGATGAGCACACATTAAAAGAGAATGTGCAAGCATTTCAGAGAATCATGTAATGCCTTGAAACTATTTGATGATGCATGTATAATAATTAATGAAGGATATGAAATTTAACCAACCACTTATTGGTTTCTCAGATTTCTGCCTAGAGTTCTTGTAGATGTGAGCAACGTAGCTTTGTCTACTACTATATTGGGTTATAATATCTCGGCACCTATTATGATAGCCCCAACTGCTATGCATAAGCTAGCACATCCTGAAGGTATTATTTCTGTTTGAACTTTGAAGAGTTATCGGTTTGTACATTTAGTTTTCATCCAGATTTTACCAGCTTTTCTGTCTATCCCAGGAGAACTTGCCACTGCCAGAGCAGCAGCTAAGAGTAATACTATAATGGTACCTATTAGGAATATTCAGCCTTATTATTTTTTCCATTTTGCTTTACATGCTTGAATAATCAGATGAATTTCTGTCCAGATTTTATCCTTCTCAGCCTCCTGCACCGTGGAGGAGGTTGCTGCCAGCTGCGATGCTGTTCGATTTTTTCAATTATATGTAATTAGACCTCCTTGAGCTCTTTTACTTTTAGAAGTGACATAAAAGCCTCTCTCAACTCTCCTTTCTTTCTAGTACTACAAAAACAACTTTAGACGCATTTCTTAAACATTTTCTATGACACTTGCAAGTACCATAAAAGGGTGTATTTGCACTTCTTCAAATGAGGCAATTCTGCTGTGGTATTATCATCCTTAGGAATTTGGGAACTAAACTGTAAGTACGTATTCTCCTATGATTAGGTATACAAAAGACGAGATATAGCTGTTAACCTCGTGCAGAGAGCTGAAAAGAGTGGATATAAGGCTATCGTTCTAACAGCTGATACTCCAAGACTTGGCCGAAGGGAGGCAGACATAAAGAATAAGTAGATATCATTTCTTCTTATCACATTCTGTATCGGGATTTAAGAGCTATTACAGCTTGTTTTAAACCACTTGATTTTCCTTTTTCTTTTAATAATTGTTTTAACCAGCTCATTTGTTGGTGGAAAGGGACATTAGTTTAGTGTTGATTTAAGATCTATTCTGTCCTAATTTCCACACAAAACAAAACTGTCTATATTGAAGTACCTACACTTGCATCCCTAAATGAACTAATTATCTGTCATACTTCTGCAGATTGATTGTGCCCCAGCTGAAGAATTTGGAAGGTCTAATGTCCATGGAAGTTGTCTCTGTGAGTAAATAATTGAAATGGGCATTAAGCTTATGTTCATTTGGAGGAACCTTTCATTAAAATTTCGGCAATGATTCACGAAACTTTCAATTTTTGGCCTTTCGATATGGAATAGTTGTTTCCATTTTTTTTCCCCCTTTAAGACCTACGGATATGATGGACTCTTGCAGGACAAAGGTTCGAACTTAGAAGCTTATGCCAACGAGACCATGGATCCTTCTTTGTGTTGGAGGGTAAAAACCAGTGAACTCCTTAATTACCTCATCTTTTATTTATCACTGTCAGAAAACCTTATTTTCGGGCTGTACTTTTCACTTGCATGAGATTTCCGCTAAACAGAAGAGTTTATTATAGAGCTAGTTGTCATAACCAATAGTCCAATACAGAAAGCAAATGCGGTTTAGTTGGCGATTCATGGACTCTATTTAGCAGCCTTCTTGATTCTAATGCTGGCTAAGGGGCATTCATGCATACCAGAAACCATTCTGTTGCTCATATTGGTTTAATTAGTGCATCGTTTCACCGGCAGGATATAGCATGGCTAAAATCCATTACAAACTTGCCTATTCTGATCAAAGGAATACTCACTCGTGAAGATGGTAAGATCAAAGTCTCATCTGATGATGTTTGCATCACTCCAATTCCTCTCTTTCTTCTTTTCCTTGAACCAAACGTTTGAAGACATAACACTCTTACACTCTCTTGGATATTATCGGTTATTGCTCAGCCATTCGTAATGGTATCTGGAATATGTAAGCTAGCTCCTTCACTTATTTTGCAGCCACTAAAGCCATGGAAATAGGTGCTGCTGGGATTATCGTCTCCAATCATGGAGCTCGTCAGCTTGATTATACTCCTGCCACAATTTCAGTTCTGGAAGAGGTGACTCAGTTTTACAGAAGGGAGACATCCTAATGCTCCTTATCTAGACAAATTCAATTCTCACGGAAATGTACTTGTTTTGCAGGTGGTTCAAGCTGTTGGAGGGAAAGTTCCGGTGTTCCTTGATGGAGGAGTACGGCGAGGAACAGATATTTTCAAGGCACTGGCCCTTGGTGCACAAGCAGTTCTTGTATGTTAAACACAGATAAATCTGATCTTCGACTAATTATCTCCTTGACCATTGATAAGCAGCAGTGTCTAATGATCGTATAGCCAGATTATTCTAAATAAAAGCCTTGCAACTTCCTACAATTGTTCCTAGCTAGCTGAACGCATAACAAAAGCAATAATCTGGTGCTCTACCTGCTGCTAGTTCAATGTTTTCCTTCAATTTATTAGTGCATTGCAACCTGAACTCCTAATTCTAGAATTGGTCCCAAAATGATAAATGCATTTGAATCGAAATGTCTTTAATTAATTTGTCTTTAATTCTAGAATTGATATAAATATATTCTTTACTGCAGGTTGGGAGGCCTGTTGTTTTTGGGCTAGCGGCAAAGGGAGAAGCAGGGGTGAAAAAGGTGATGCAAATGCTGAAGGACGAGCTTGAGCTCACCATGGCCCTTGCTGGCTGCCCTAGCGTGAAAGATATTAACAGGAGCCATGTAAGGACGGAGCGCCAGAGACTCCAATCCATGCTCTGAAATTGTCTTCAAATCACTAAAAATTGTCCTACAGGGATGATTCCTTTTTTACTCTTTTCACTTCAAAACTGGATGAGGATTAAAAACTCTAATAATCATTAATATATGCATCAAATAAAACTAATTAATTATTCATCTTGATTTATTACTCTTTAACTTGTGTCAGTTACCACAAAAACATACTAATGCTTATACGATTATAGCTCAATTGACACCAATATTCTCCTCCTCTTAAGAAATTTCGAAGTCGAAACTCTACTTTCTTCATTAAAAATAAATAAATAGTGCTAGCAGCTTTGAGATCTTCGGAAGTTTAGAAACCTGGGCGTCTTTTGGTATAGATCAGATCTTAATCTAAATTCGATGTAATTAAATAAATTTAATTACAATTTTTATGATTTGAATCTGATTATGATTTTATTATGTTAACTTATTTATTAGATGAATTAAATATGAATATATCTCGATCTGATCCGATAATAATTCGATCTAAAATTAATATTAATATAATTTATAATAAATATAATATTTTTAAAACATAAAAAAAAAAAATTGTGACAGTAGGTTTAGATTTAATTTTTATTTACTCTAGATGTTAAGAAACGTTCTATATCTCCATATCTAGATTGATAGCTATTTTTTCAAACAACTACATAATAAGTGTTTTTTTTTTGTTTTCATCATTTTTCAAGTATCAAATAAATTTTACAAAAAAAAATCTATAAATGTACGAAAAATAAATAAATAAATGAGTTGTTGTTAGTATTATACTTGTATTTCTAATTTAAAAAATCTTAATTCAATCTAAATTTTTTTTCATTCCAAGTTTGTTGTTTGTGAACACTAGAATTTTTGTTCATATCAATCAAGTTGTGCCTAAAGTAGGTATTTTTATTATTATTATTTTAACTTTGTCAAACTTCTTTTCTAATTTAAATTAATTTTGACTTTTAATATAAACTTTTATTGAGATTATTTGATTTTATTCTTTTTAAAGGTGAGACATTTGGATTCTTTTTTAAATTTACATATTAAATATTATCATTTTTTTTATATACATACAATAGGTAAAACTTATTTTAGGTTCAAGCATAATTTTAAATGTAGCTAATAGTTTTTTTTTTGAAAAGAATTGAATAATAAATCCAATGAATATCTAAATCTAGTTTGAACTCGTTAGGTTCCCGAGCGGTAATTACGAAATCCAAATTCGAATTTATAAAATCTAATTCAATTTATTTATTAAAAAAATCAGATCCAAATTTAATAGAATTTGATTCAAATTCAATGTCAACAGTCCTGCTATGAAGTCAAATCCATGAGAAGAAAAACTCCAGTTCTAGCCCAACTTCACTGAAAAATAGGGCACCCCGTATTCAGGGTGATCAAGCTCTATCTCAGGCTGACACCTGCCCAATAAATAAATGGATAATGATAGATTAACAAAGTTGTCTTTGCTGCTGCTACTGTCGAATTACAGATTCCGTCCACTCTTGTATTGGGATGAAGATGTTTCCATCCAAATATACAAAACGTCAAGACATAAGAATAAGTTTTTGTTGGCTATTTTACACATAATGAAGCCAAAGTACAGCTTCTCATGCTCAGGCTCTGTAGGTCATACATAAACTTGTATTTTCAGATTCAATATTAATTGTATATTTTTTTCGTTTTTCAGCTACACTTCTTTTTTTGCTTTTTTCGGTTGCTTGCTGTTGTCACATTACAGTTATGCTTTTGGTCGTGATCAACTTGCTTTTCTAATCTTGTTGACTAGAATAAATTTACTTTTTATATACTGAAAAGGGTCTCCGATCATTTTCTTCACTTGTTTTAACGATTATATGGCATCAAACTTAAGAGTGTTTTGATGGGTACGAGTCAGATACTTTTCTTCTTAACAATTTTTGTAGATGTCAGCAAAATTGATATATGTCAAGTATTGTATTAGGGTATAGAATCTTAGCACCAATAATGATTGCTTCAACTTGTTTGCATATGTTGGCACACCCTGAAGGCCTAAGACATCCTGAAAGAGTTGTAATTTCTATAATCTAGCAATTCTTCCTTTACATTTTGTTTGCCTTTATCCCAGGTGAGGTCGCCAGTCGCCACAGCTACAGCTGTAGCTGCATCTAACGTGATTACAGTACTTGAATAACAAATTGATGTTCATTTGCATACTTCGTGGGTGTAAATTCTGAATTATTTTTCATGCTAGATTTTATCGTACATGTCTACCTGCACGTTGGAGGAGGTTGCTTCCAGCTGCAATGCTGTTCGGTTTTTTAAATTATATGCACTCTTCCCCTTCACCAGTTCTTTTAATTTTCTTTGCAGATTCGTTTAATGTCTTCTAACATGTTAGTTATCTTTCTGCAAAAGGTGTACAAGAATCGAGATATATCAGCCCAGCTAGCGCAGAGAGCTGAAAAAAGTGGATATAGGGCTATTGTCCTAACCGTGGACTTTCTGTCGAAGAGAAGCTGACATAAAGAACAAGTGAAGAGATCTATCTCTTTCATTTGCACTAAATTTTCGTTCACAACTTTATCCCATCCCCTCTAGACAATTGGGAACAGCCCATTGAAAGTTAAGAGAATGCTTCTTGTCTTCATAGTGATTCAAATAGCCATCTCTCGTGCATCTCAATGCAAATAATTTAACTTCTACAGAATGCTTGCACCTCAGTTGAAGAATTTTGAAGGTCTTCTATCAACCAAAGTTGCCTCTGTAAGTGGAATAATCAGTTCCCAATTATTTATTTTAAATGTCTAAATGCTCAAGATCATTCTTCATTTATTTTCTTTCTATGATGCCAGTCTCAGAATGTATCAAACATCTACTTTTTTATACACATCTTGGAGCTATAAATATTGATAAGTGGTACGAGGCTTGTCTTCGCTCATATATCGTTGTAAGCATCCTTTCGAAGGCCCATAATTCTTCTGTGTGATACATATCTTATAATAGCTATTGTGATTGATATGTGTCTTATACTCCAAACCCTTATCCACATCAGTCTCTAGAGCTTAACAATCTTTCACTTGAAGATTGATCTTCAAATAGCACCAAACCTCTTATAACTATCCATTCTCTTTCAAGTTCTCCTAATGCAATGTCTTCTCATCACCAATAATGAAGGCCAAGCTGAGGCAATGCAAAGCCTCAACTTATCAATGGTAACTCGCCTTGGTCACCATATCAACTAGATTCTCAAATCTTAAAATCTTATTCAAACATATTACCCCATCATCCAACAACTCTTGAATATTGGTGATAATCTAACCGAATATGTTTGATTCTTATATGAAAGATTAGGCTCTTGACAAGATGAATTACACTCTTACTATTACTTAAAAAACTCACTATCATCCTATGTCTTACCCATGGTTTTAAAAAATGACCGTTACGTCGCGTAACAACCGTTTTATAACGGTAACGAAGCAACTTCGTTACCGTTTTTTGACATTATAAAGACCTCAACGCAGTTTCACACCTATAACGGCTGATAACGGCGTTATCGTTACATAACGTCGTTATCAACCGTTATATAACGGCGTTATGTATATATTTAAGCTGCTGAAACAAAGGCTTGAAATGCGGTAGGACTTTTTTATGCTTTCTTTTGTCCGTAGGTACTAATGAAAAGAAGGGACTTTTTTGCCTTCTTTTGCTTTCTTCCTGCATTATCTAATGAAAGAAATGCTGCTGGACATTGTTTTGTCTTCTTATACTTTCTTTCTCCCACGGGTACCAATGAAAAGGACTAAGGAGGGACTTTTTTGCCTTCTTTTTGCTTTCTCCCTACAAGCCTACATTATCTAATAAAAAGAATCTTATTTGCAATTTTTACAGAAGTTGGCAGTGAAGTCCGAGTTGTTCTCCAATAAAATTTTCATACTGTGTGTACGTGACAAACGTGAAATTGTGAAAAGGTTGTAGTTGCGGGCCTTTAACTTGAATTTTGAGCAAGAAGACAATGTAAAGAAAAATTGTATCTATCATGATTTTTGTAAAATGACTATTGGACGAGGCACAAAATATCAATAAAAAAATTTACTTGTTATGTGATTAATTTTTAGAGAATAAAAAGTTTAGAGAATGAAAATATTTACTAATTCAAATAAATTAAAAATAAGTCCTTTTATTTAAAGAAAAAAATTAGTTGATCCTTTTTATTTCATAAATCAATAATTTAGTTATTTTTATTCATTTTATATTATCATCTAATTTATTTTTGTTTTTATTTTAAAAATAGAAAAAACTCATACCATAAAAAAGTTGATGAAAAAATAATTATGAAATAAATATATTATATTAAAAATATCAATACTAATTAAAATCTTATATAATTAATTTTAAAACATTAAGGACTAATTAATTTATTTATTAAACTAGAGGGACTAATTAATTAAATTTATAAAAACTAAAAGGATTAATATATAACTTACTCTTTCAAGATTCTCACCAAATTCAAAGGCTGCACCTAGCGAGCCTTTGCATTTGGTGTTTTTAAAGTGGTCTCTACGATACTGCAAGCCTAAGCCTTACTGCAAGTAGAGCCTTTAAATTCAAAGGCTGCGACTACTGCAGCCTTTGAATTTAAGAGATTAATTATACAAATTCAATTATTACGGAGCAATATCGGTAACATTCATTCGTAAATTTATTTCTTTAAATTCGTTCAAAGTGTTCACTCTTCGGACTTTAGATGCTCACTTCTTAAGTCGTTACACTTTCTTAAGTGTTTATACTATCCATTTATTCGTAAATCAATTTCAATCCCTTATGCCTCAACCTAAAAAACCAAATCTTTAATTTTAAATACTTAAATTCAATTGTGAACAACCCTCTTTTAACTTCTCAAGTTTCAAGTACCGACCACTTTCAATTATTAATTTGTTCGAAAGTGAAAAATTTATAAAGGTAATTTTTTATTTAAGTTAATTTTATTTATTTTTATGTAAATTTATGAAAAATTTCATCATTAATTTTAT